TTTATTGATAATTTATATTGAAAATAGAAGGTTGGAAGACAAGATGAATTCATATCCTACACTTAAAACTAACATAAATATTTTTAAACATTTTTAATGCAGTTTTAAACACTTAAAATAAATATTTTTAAACATTTTTACTGCAGTTTTAAACTGTTCAGGCTATAGTTGTTTTAGATTTATTTAATTTTTTATAATTTAATATTTTACTAGTAATTTTAAAATATTAAATTTGCAATGCCCAAATTTTAATCTAATTATAGAGAGATGGTTATTGATATATTTCTTTAAATACGTGCAAAAATAAGGATATTTATAGAAATGATAATATTTATATTAAGTTTTCTATATTCATTAAGTTAAGTTCTCTAATTACATAACATATTAAAAAATAGGACACATGTCACGTATAATTACAAAACTTAATATCATAGATATAAAAAATTTGACCTAGCTATTGTTCATTAAAAAATAAAATTAAAAATTAAAAAAATAAATTGAGATTTTAAATTTAATATCAAACTTATTTTTTTAATTAACTCTTATATTTAAGACTCATGGCAGTATTAACTATTTGGAGGACAAAACGATCTGCATTTAGAAAGTGTTTGGAAATCCTTAAAGAACACTTAAAAAACAGTTTTTATACAAATAGAGATAAAACTATTTTTGTATACTGGCCTTAAAAGACAAATCCAAACACATCCTTCTTAATTTAAGCTGTGGGTGACTGACGGGTGAGTTGGGTGGTTCAGATTTCAGAGGCTGCCAGCACAGAAAGGAACAAGTGAGACAAGAGGAGGGCCGCGGAATTAATGGGCGGGCTCCAGCGACCACCCATCTAGGCGGCGGCGACTACCGCCAATTCACTTTGACACGTCCCATCAACCTCCCACACCCCCACCCACTCCTTTAACACCCACCCTTCAGACGCTCGTTTTCCTCTTTACAAAAAAAAATATATTCATGCCGCCCCAGCCTTGAATAATGAATCTCTGGACAAAAATAGAATCTAGAACCAGAAGCACCACGGTAGCCAATTTCCATTTTATCTTTAAGTAAAATGAACGGAAAATTAATTATTTAACATACTTCGTTCTTATTAAGATCATACCAGCAGTACCGTTGGATTGGTAATAAGATTTGAATTTACGACTTTATGAATTATGAGGCTAACTTTTATTAGTTAAATGATTTTTTTAAAAAAGTAAATGAAGTAACTAATAAAACGATTAAGTTTTAAGTATTGAGTTCGATGAATTAAACTTTAAAAGTTGTTAGATTAATGTTAAATAGGTTAAATTATTGATTTTTCAAAGAACTAAAACTAGGCCGACTTGAGGGTGAGAGAACTATCTTGTCACATGTTGACTAGCTTAAATTAGACTTATTTTTTAGTAGTCCCCGACTACTCATCACCAATAAATTCCAGTAGAAAAAACTACACATCAATAAATACAATTAATTAATTTTTATATAATATGAAAATAAATTTTGTTTCTTATTACTACCTCATATTCTTAATATAAAAATAGTTTGACTTTTAATTTGATTTTAAATATAAGAACCTAATTCACTTTGTCTCTTAAATTTATTTATTTTTCTCAAGATAGTCTTTGTAATAGTTGTACATGTTAAATGTTTCATCAAATAATATTTGATTAGTAAAGATATTTTAGAAAAGACAACACATTTTTATTCAAAATAACTAATTTAACTAATTTTCTTAATCTACTCAAATTAGTCAACTAGTTCTTATATTAAAAATCAGAGATGATATTAAAGTTAAATGCTGTTAAGAAATATTAATAGGTCAAGGGTGATTACTGATTATGTCATGGGAAAATAACAAATAAAGAAGCTGGAAAATGTGATATTCCAAATCAAGCATCTAACACTTTAAATTCACATAGTAGGAAGTGATCTTTGCTCTGGTATTTAGTAAATGCAGTTAAATGGTTAAAATGTCTTTGTATCAAAAAAAATTTATTAACAAGTTGTGAATTTGGAAATGACAAGCGTTAAAAAACACAAATGATGAGAAATATATTGTCAGTGACAAATTATTTATTAACAAGTTGTGTATTGGCAAATGATAAATGTTAAACAGCTAATGACAAAAAAATACTGATAATAAAAAGTTTGATAGCTGTTTTTTTAAAATCCGATACAAGGGCATTTTAAATATTTAACTCAGATTAGGTATCACTTTCTTCTCTGTTATTTCCAATTCTTAGATACTTGAATTGGGAAATAATAATTTCAGGGTTCTTTTCTAAAATTTTTCCTTATGTCATCTTTTAAAAATTGATATGTTAAATGAGGTAAAATATTTTAAGATTAAAAATAAAATAAATTTATCATACCAATTGGCAAAAGCCACAAACCCACCCAGAGTTGTTTGTAATATTTACTCTCTCTGATTTTTTTATCATATATAAATAATCTAATTGTGTAGTTTAAGAAATTTGTTAACATTAGCTAAAAACATAAAAATATATAAAAATATATTTTTAAAATACGTCTTTATTTATAAAAGGAAAAAAAATAACAAGGGGAAAAAAAGATGAAAATGAATATATGAAAAATAATAATAAAATTAATTAAAGATAAAATTGATAAAAATGCATATAATGTTTAGGGAATCCAAACCGTATCTTATATAAAGAATCATGAATTTAAAAATTTAAAAATTTAAATCTTATAAAAAAAAATACTGGTGGGACTTGAGAGTATCGATTTGACTTGGTCAAACCAAAAAATTACAAGATTTTATTACTCATAAGTTGAACACCTACGCCTCTCTTTCTCTCACCAAATCCCATTCCTTTCCCCTCCAGCCTCGCTTGTCTCCATCCACCTCTGTAATGTAATATCGATGACCCACTCACCATCCCCAATGGCCCTCAACTTCCTCGCTTCCCTCTCACCTGTCAATTTCCCATATGTATATATTTATAATATTATACTCCTCCGATCTTTAATATAAGACCCATTTAACTAATTTGATTAGATTAAAAAAATTAGGTAAGTTAGTTAATTATAAGAAAAATGACACATTTTTCCTAAAGCACCATAATTATCTTCCTTAATACCCTTTTTCCCTTTTCTATTTGATTATGGTTGAGAGAGTATCCATATGGGTAATTTAGAGAAAATTAATAAATATAAGAAATGAGTCTTATATTTAGGACCAAAACCAACTCAAGAATTGGGTGCTATATTAAAGACCGGAGGAGTAGATAGTTTTATCATTACATGTATTATTTTCTATCCTTAATATAAGATCTAATTGATTAATTTAGAATGATTAAGAAAGTTACTAAATTATTTAATTATAACATATGTTACATGATATCTTTAAAATACTTAAGTGTATTATTAGATTATATATCAATTTATAAGCAAAGTAAATTATTTGAGAGAAAACTAATAAATATAAATACTTTAAAGTAATTTGGTAACTTTTTTAATCTTCTTAAATTATTCAAAGGGGTCTTATATTAAGAACCGGAGGTAGCATCAATATTATAGATATTATTATGTTAGATCTGCGTTTAATTATACAATTATCAATATACTAGTAGAACAATGTATTTTTTTTTATTCACACGTTTTAACCCTCAATTTTTTTCCACCATAACATTCTTCACTAATATCAGCTTATTAGGGTAAGCCTCAAAATTCAAATGACACTTTACAAAATGAGTTACATATTAGGGAATAATAAAAGCCTCACGTTAAGTTTTGGCTTAAGCAAGAAGTTATAAGTTGGATCACCTATAAATTCAATGAGTTAATATTAAATTTTAGCTTAAACAAAAAGTTATAAACATGATCACCTATAAATTTAATGAGTGTGTGAAATTTTTTCGTTGGGTGAAGTATAGTAACAAAAAATTAAAATTCCAATTCATTCTTGTTTAAGCGTGAGTGGCATCCTTATTAGTAGTATCAGATCTTCATCATCTTCAACCTCAATTTTATTTAAGAAAAATAGAATCATTGTTAGTTGACCAATATAATTGAGTTATTTTTATTGGAACTAGCTCTCTTATACTCTGTCTAATCCTAAAAGTTTGAATTAGATAACTAATTTATATGTATAAATTAAGAAAATTGTTTAAATTAGTTATTTGTAAAAAATTGTGTTATTCTTTTATAATACCTTTTTTATTATTTATATTAAAACTACCCGAGTACCCTTTTAATAGATATGCAATGAATAAGGATAATTTTTAAAAATTATAAATTTAATAAATAAAATGAATTATTATCTTACAAATTAAAGCAAAACCATCAACTAGTTCTAATGTATATACTCTTGTTCTTAATGTAAAAGTTGTTTATGTAATAAATGGTTCAACAAAGTTAAATAAATTATTTAATTATAACATATGCAAGTTAATATTCATAAAATAATATTTTACAACATTAGAGTATAGGGTTAAGATTTGTCTAATACTCATCCCAGAATATTTTTCTATGTACATCCAATATCTTGAAGTATTTTGTAATTTATTTAACACTCTCAAATATTTTTTCAGGTGTGTTAGCATCTTAAAAAATATTTTAAAAAAATACTTTATAGTACTTGATATACATTTATTCATTGAACCTTTTGAGAAGTTAATAATGCAATTAAGATTGCTCATAGAATAATACATTAAAAAACACAATTGTTTCTGAAAAATACTTTAAGAGCAGAAGTACACCATCAACCATTTTAAGGCCTTGGGTGCAACTGAAAAAAATATTTCTAAACATATCATAAAATATTTTAGGATGCCGGATGTATTTATCCGTATATTATATACACATATATATCATTTTATAAGTTGGATAAATTGTTTAAAAAATTTATCATAAATATAAAAAAATAAAATGAATTAAAATGTGTCAGGGCGGGGCGGGCGGGCGCGCGCGCGTGTATATATTCGTTTGTCTAAAGCTGCAATGACTCTTCTTGCGTGGCATATATTGGCCAGTGTTGCTGCTCAACCAGCGCTCCTCTCTCAGCTTTTCCGTGTAACCACTCCATTCATACACTGCTTCACACCAAGCGCAACCCCCAACGTTTTCCTTTCTGGTAATCTCTTCCCAATCCATTTCCGTAATCGCCTTTTCAATTCCTTCATCTCTCTGCCTCGCTTCAACTTCAATTTTTTTTTTCCCGTCTTTTAAATGAAGCCATTACCTCTCCGTCTTTCGGAAATTCCAATACCATTACCATGATGATTTTTGTATTTGCAGAACAAAACCGTGGAATCGTATAAAGTTATGAATAAGTGACGAAACTTTTCTGTTTTTGTTTATTCTATAGATAGATTGGATTCGTGTTTGGAGTTTAGTTAGCAAGGAGGGGGAAGAGGATGATGATAAACGTGAAGGAGTCGACGATGGTGCGGCCGGCGGCGGAGACGCCCCGGAGGTCGCTGTGGAATTCCAATGTCGACTTGGTGGTGCCGAATTTCCACACGCCGAGCGTATACTTCTACAGGCCAACGGCGGACACGCCGGGTTTCTTCGACGCCATGGTTCTTAAGGATGCTCTGAGCAAGGTTCTGGTGCCTTTCTACCCAATGGCTGGGCGACTCCGCCGGGATGACGATGGCCGTGTTGAGATTGACTGCAACGGCGAAGGCGTCCTCTTCGTCGAGGCCGAAACGGACAAAGTCATTGACGATTTCGGTGACTTTGCTCCGACGCTTGAACTCCGACAGCTCATTCCCGCCGTCGATTATTCCCGTGGAATCGAAACCTATCCCCTGTTAGTGTTGCAGGTACGTTTCTGTTCGCTAGATCACTCTGTTTTTTGCGTTCTTTTTTAACATGTTATCTCATCTTTTAAAAGATTTAATTCGCTGGATTTTCTGATTCTTAATCCATTCCTTCCACCGCTCAAGAACAAATCAAGCCAACACTTAGTTAGCTTCCATCTCAGTTGCTTGGTGATTGTAGTTCGCAAGGAAAACGAAGTTATAGGTTGGAGGATTTTAAGTTGGCTCGCTAAATTAAACGCATTAGGAAACGAGACTATGGTAGTTATAATTATTTATAATATTAATAACCATTATTGAAATATGCCCACGACCACCAAAATAATAGCATATAGGCCATTGAAAAATTATAGTTTAGCAGTCATTTTTAATGCTGGGGAACTGTGCTTCTAGAAGTTTTTAATAAACGTGACCATGGAACACTTAATCATTAAAAAATAAAGTTAACAGTTGTGTTTCGGTTCAAATTAAATTATGATTCATCAATAAAAAGTTAAAAACTTGCTTAGCTTTTTTTCTTTGGCCTTTTATTTTATTAGCCTACCGGATTCTTTCAAAACTAAAAATCACTTCTTTTTTATTAGTCATCAATTTCTTGATTCTTTCGAGAAATTTATTTCGGGTATTAATATTTTATTTTACAAAAAATAAAATTATATCTATTTTTAAAATAAAAAACAACTCTTTATATGTTTAAAATCCCTCCCCGAGAAAAGAAGTATTTTCCTAATTAATATTTTTATTTTGGAACTTATAGGCTATAGCACGCTTTTAGAAAACACAATTTTTAATTACCTGTTCAAAATCACTTTTATTTGGTCTAAATGTTCCAACTCTTTGAGATTCTCGTTTCCAATATCATATTGATATTGCACACCTAACGTCGCCATCTTTGTCCTGCCAAACATGATAAGCTTCACTTGTTGGGGCACACATATATTAATATGTCTATAATAATAAATAATAAGTGTTCTAATTCGCTTTGATGTATAAAAAGCATATAAAGAAACATTATCTTAATAATATGTCTATCATTTGTTAGGAATTACTACTTCCAGTCCTAATTATAAGAGCCAATTGACTAATTTAAGAAGATTAAAGAAGTAAGTTGAGTTAGTTAGTTGTTCTAAATAGATGATGTCTTTCCTAAAATATTCTTGCTAATCAAGTATATTAACTATAACTATAATTATTAGAAGGATTATCTTGGAAAAAATTGAGTAAGTATGAGAGACAAAGTGGATTGGGGTCTTATATTTAGGACCAAAATAAAAGTCAAACAGGGTCTTATATTAAGGACTGGAAGTAATAATATCTCTCTTCAGTTGTTAAAAGTATAAAATACAACACCAAAAAAAATATTTAACATTTTTAAATTTTGTTATTTCTTTGCTTTGAGAGATTTGGAGGTAAGGGGACGGAAGGAGAAAGAATAATCCTCCTTATACATCGCTAATTAAAATCCCAACTCTTTTACCCATTTTTACTCAAAATCATCTCCCCTCCATAAAAGATATCTTCTACAAACATTATCTTAATAACAACGAATTGGCAAGATTATTTTCATGCATGCATCTATAGGAGATATATTTTGACTGTTGGAATAAAGTTTCTAAATTAAACGGTTTGAATGGCTCGGATTTGTATGCCCCCACTAAATTTCACAAGGCAATAAAAAACATTTATTCAGAATAATGTGGAGGCCACCCTGTCATACACTATTTTCTGAAAAACAAATATTGTTAGCAACAATTCATGCATATTTTATATGACATCAACCTTTCCAATTATATTTAATACTTTAATCTTATTTATGGTGCATCAAGTACTCTAATATTATTTTTAGTGCATTCAACACCCTTATATTATTATTTTAATTTACATCCATAACCCTAATCTTATTTATAATTTAGAGTGTTAGATGTTTTATTTAAAAAAAAAAACATCAGTGTGTTAGATGCACCATAAATAAAATCATGATGCTAGATGCATTTAGAAAATACAATTAGGGTATTAGATGCACCTATAAAATAATGTTAGATATTGTTTTATTCTTTTTTATATTTTAATTTACATCCAACACCCTAATTTTATTTATAGTTTAGGGTGTTAGATGTTTTATTTAAAAAAAATAACAACAGTGTGTTAGATGCACAATAAATAAAATCATGATACTAGATTTATTTAGAAAATAAAATTAGAACAGTAGATACATCTATAATGTTGGGGCGTTAGATACATATTTATTCTTTTTTATTTGTCCATAGTAGAATGTGTCGTCGTTTTGTAATTTGTATGTCCCAAAAAGGTCAATGGGCTGGCTTTTGGAGACCCTTCATCATGCACAGTATATAGAGCTGGGAAAACAGGTCAAGCCCATTGAGTCGGCCCGTTTAAACCATTTTAAATTGAGGGCCGAGTTTATAATTTAGGGTTTTCAAAAAAAAACTTGAACTTAAAAAGACCAACCCGTTTAAGATTACTAACGGTAATTTTTTTTAATTTATATTTTTTCCCTTGATCCTAACCTAAGTCTCTAACATTTTACACACTCTTCCTTTCTAAGTTTTATTTTCAATCTTTCACTCACTGTCAGCTGACGCTTTAGTCTCTAATAATATTAAAATAAATAAAAATATATTCTACATATACTAAATCAAATTTCAAATTTGTATTTATTTGAACTAACAGTTATATATTAAAATAAATAAAATATATTCCTCGTATTAAAACAAAAATTTTAATGATTGAACCCATAGATACATATCAATTTGTATATGTTATAAAATTTTAATAAATAAGTTAACACTTTTTTTATGGTAACTATATCAAAATTTTTACTCTATATTTAAATGGAGCTAGACAAGTGAGCTAGACAAAACCAAAGAATACCATCTTGAACAAAAGCAAAAAGAAGATGACATAGTTAGCTCATTAAAAGCACACTAAGGATCAATCCAAAGTGCTAAGATATTTCAGACTTCCCATGACACTGTGCATCAAAGTGATTTCACAATTAAAACTTGAGAAAAAAATATTATCTCCAGTCCTAATTATAAGACTTTGTTTGTAGTCTATAAATGAGGTTTTATAATTAAGACTGGAGATAATAAGTAGGCAATATAGAATCAATCCCCAGTGGTTGCGAAGTTGAAACCTTTAAAACAAACTTAACATTGATACTTTTAAATAAACTTACTGGTAAACAAAAAATTCAATTCAAAAAGACAGAAGAAGACATATTAAAATCCAAAATAGCTAAATAGTACTGAGAAGAAATCATTGATATTTTTAGCAGTTAAGAAAAGCCTATTAGTGAAACGCAATCAAATATTCTTATAATTGATGATAGTGATGATAGTATTTGTCCACTTTTTTTTTTTTTTTAGTGAAAGCATTTGTCTATTTTTAATGGAACTTTTGGATGTTAATGTTACTAACTTGTTATGTCTAATGGATGTTTTAGATTTTTTGTATGTTGATGAATATTTATATATGATGATATTTTGTATTTGCGACTTAGTTTTATTCATATTTATGTCTTTTACTAGTAATTTTATTAGTTTATTTTCATTTTTTGTGATAAAACATGTAAGAAATATAAAAAATAAATTTTTTTTAAACGGATCGAAAGCCTATGGACTGGCCTTGAGCTCGTCTTCTTAAGGACCGGATTTAGCAAATTGGAGTATTTTTAAAATTTTGGCCCTGTAAGGCCGGTCCTTGTAAGTCCGCCAGCCCTGTAGGGCTAGGCTAGCCTGTTTTCCCAGCTCTAGTATACAGTGAGAAAGGAGCCAAAGTTCAGCTTGCGCCTTTTTTCCTTGTCCTACATCTTTTTCTTTTTTTTGAACTTTTACAAAGTGTCCATATTCAAAGTTAGACTTCAAATTCAAATTTAATTCCAGTCACGTAGCAAGATAGGATCAATATTCTAAATCCATCTTTATAATGCAAACTAAAATCTTGCTCACATGTTTATTTTTTTTTAGATAACATATTTCAAATGTGGAGGGGCGTCACTTGGAGTAGGTATGCAGCATCATGTAGCAGATGGATGTTCAGGTCTGCGCTTCATCAATACATGGTCAGACATAGCTCGTGGCCATGATCTTACACTTCGTCCCTTCATCGACCGGACCCTTCTTCGAGCTCAGGACCCTCCTCGGCCGGTTTTCGATCACATCGAATACAAACCCCCTCCGGCCATGATCACTCCCTCCTCCTTGCCACCATCACCCACAAAACCAGGCGCAGACCCAGCACCGCCAGCTGCAGTGTCTATTTTCAAAATGACTCGTGGCCACCTGAACCTTCTGAAATCCAAGTCCAAAGAAAATGGCAACACAATCAATTATAGCTCCTATGAGATGTTGGCTGGCCATGTGTGGAAAAACGTGTGCAAGGCACGTGGCTTACCCCATGATCAAGAAACCAAACTGTACATTGCTACTGATGGAAGGTCTAGATTGAAGCCAGAGCTGCCAGAAGGTTACTTTGGAAATGTGATATTCACAGCCACACCAATGGCTATTGCTGGTGATCTCATGTCAAAGCCAACTTGGTATGCTGCGAGCAAAATTCATAATGCTTTGGTGAGAATGGACAATGAGTATCTGAGGTCGGCTTTGGACTACCTAGAGCTTCAACCTGATCTTAAAGCTCTTGTTCGTGGGGCTCATACTTTCAAGTGTCCAAATCTTGGGATCACTAGTTGGGTTAGGCTGCCAATACATGATGCTGATTTTGGGTGGGGGAGGCCTATTTTCATGGGACCAGGTGGCATTGCGTACGAGGGACTGTCTTTTATAATACCAAGTTCATCAAATGATGGTAGCTTGTCTGTTGCCATTGCTCTCCAGCCTGACCACATGAAAGTGTTTCAGGAATTGTTATATGACATGTAATTCTTTTTCTTCCTTTTTTTTGGACACTTCATGAACCTTATACATAATTTAGACCCATGAACGATTCAGTAAAGTGTAATAATCTGTACCCTCTCTTAAGTTTATTTCGTTCTGACATGACTGCTCAGTATTTATAATTTCTGAGATGCTTCAATTCACGAGTTCCTCATAGTATACAATGTGTCGACTGTTTTTGGCTGCTGTGTTGTTGATGAATGTTCACCTCCGGATTTCAATTTTTCTATAGCTACCTCAACTCGTTTATTGACTAGTTTTTCTTCTTTGGCTCTTTCCAGGAACATGTGTATTAAATCACAGGAAAACTGTTGTACTTTAGAATTAGAATGATTCAACAGCGAGGTTGCTGGGAGCTCTGTGTTGTGCTTCTTCAAGAGTACCTACCATACCGAAAGATTACAACTTCCATAAGAAAATTCTGGTAATTTTAAAAAGGGGAATCAAATTGCTAGGTGACAAACAAAGATGCCCGTTTAGGATCATGAAAAGAAAGACGCAAACAATAGGAGCAATAAACCCCCAAAAAAAAAAAAAAACCATATGACTACAAGATTTCTTCCTTTAGAACACCCCCCCAAAGGATTAGTTGAAGAGGAAAAAGAATATCAAAGCAAAGCTTGCAACAGAAAGAGTTAAACTTGAGCCCCGAAAACACGTTGCTGAAGTTGCAGAGTTGCGAGTGGGAGGACGACGAATAATATTTTCACCACCAGAACCCGAAGGTGATCCCCTTCCTCCCCTTCCATGTGCTTTTCGTAGAGTATCAGATATCTCAATTTTCTTTCCCTCAACTTTCTCGCCCAGCCTGTTCTTCTCCTTCATGCTTCCATACGATAATCCCTCTATCATTGAAACAGTGAAACAAACAACAGATTCAGGAAACAAACAATATAGGATTCAAGTGGTTGAAGAGGCAGAACAAATGTTACCCAGAAATTCCTGCGTCTGCACATAGGTGTGGTTCAAAGCTCTGCTTTCCGAAGTGGAAAATGTCTGGCAATCTGAAGTTGAAATGGCTCGAGCAAATGAAACGAAAAGAAACAGCACAAGAATTGTTGACCCCATCTTAGGGTTTGACGAGGAAATTAGGGTGCCTTGCCTGTGGATAAATAGGTCCCCTGTTTTACTTTGAACGAAGCAGAAAGGTTGGCTCAACTGCTCAAGTGACAGTGACTTGCACCTGATTGATTCTTTGGTGTTTCTGTGGCCTAACACAATTTGAGATGAGAATCAAAGGGTTACGTTGATCACTCTTTCAAAGTATCATTTAATCTTTTTAAATTAATTCTTAGTTCATCAAATATTTAAAGTATTTTCTTTTAATACTGCCTCATATTTTAAAGTAATTTTTAGTATACCTAATACTTTAAAGTATTTTTCATTTTAGAATAAAATTTGCACGAGAATTTATTTTATAATATTAGATGTTATTAAAAAATACTGTAAGGTGATGAAAATAAAAATACCCAAATTAATGAGTTTATATATGCCAAGACATTAATTTTTTTAAACAAAAATTAGTAGCGTAATAATGTTAGTTTTTTTTTATTTTTCCAGGGTAGAAGAAATTAATTTAGTGATGTAATAGTGCAAGTCTTTTTTTTTTTTTGGCCATTTTAAGTACTTCCTTGATAAGGGGGAATAAGAAATGGGGACAAGTAAGGAGGAAAGTAGCTATTTGGAATGGAAGGGACTTTCACAGACCATTGGATTCTTTTGGAAAGAAGCTAGCGGTTTTCTGATTAGAAAAGGATGGTAACCAGTAACAGTTTCCCACGCAGTAGAGAAAGACAGTGATTGGCACATGGAATAAAGTTGTCACTGTGTAGAAAAATAAAAGGAATTTTCTTTTTGATTTTTCCTTCTTTTCTTTCCTGGAACGTACAAAAGAATCCTCTGCTGCATGGTTCAGGATAAAACTGATGCTCCTACAACTTGACACACAATTTGCAGTCAGCATATGACCCCTTTGGTGCTTGTAGTATTTTACAAAATTTAAGATAATCAAGGGATTATTGTTAAATTCTCCAATACAGGAATGCAATTTTTTTTATTAGGCACAAATATTCTTTCTATTGAATACCTGTTTAAAGTACTATCAAACATGATGTGTTATATTTGGAGTGTTATGTTGGAAGCTATGGAATGCGTGTGATACACTCATTTTCAATAAGGAATGAACCCAAAACTATCAGCTAGCCAATGCGACTATTTCTTTTTCCCACCATGTCACGAAGGCAAAGACTTTTTCGTAACCATTTGCATCAACTTTGTTGTTTCTAGCTGCTTGATTGTAGTTAGCTCCTTTTACTTTGTTCTGTAATCAGTTCCTCTATACTTGTAGTGCTTATACATATTCTTGATTAATGAATTACCTTTCTAATAAAAAACGTACCATCAAGCATTAAATGTAGACAAATTTCCTAACAGAAAAATCAAATCTTGATTCGTCATATTATAATAAACTAGCTCTTTTTGCTAGACAAAGTTATTATACATTGTTGAATAAAATTTTTGTTAACAATCAATAATTAAATTATATATATTATTAAATTGAACTATAAAATCTCTTAACTTTTGCCAAGCGGGATTGAGTTGATTGATAAAAGTCTATACTTCTTGAAGCATCTACAAAAGGGGACATCATGGCTAAGCCGATTACAGAAAGTCATCATGTGGTGTTGTTATCTAATAAGCTTTATTGTAACCCTAATCCAACAGGATATAGAACTCCATTTGGGTGTTGTCATGTTCAATAGAAGGGAAGAAATAGGGGGGAAAATGTTTAGTAGAAGAAATGGACGGCAGAGTAGGTAATTTGATTTGAGGCGAGGAGATGCGAGCGAAGAGATTTTGCTTAATGTGCTTGTTTTTGGTTTACGGTTGCCATAGATAGCGTGCTATTAGAATATTACTTCTGGTTTTTAATATTACCTCTGGTCCTAATTATAAAAACCAATTGACTAATTTGAGAAAATTAAAGAAAGAAGTTAAGTTAGTTATTTGTAATAAATAGATGTTGTATTTTCTAAAATATCCTTACTAATCAACTATGTTGACGAAAACTATAATTATTAAAAGGACTATTTTGGAAAAAATTGAGTAAATATGATAGACAAATGGATTGGGATCTTATATTTAGGACCAACATAAAAGTCAAACAGGATCTTATATTAATGATCGGAGGTAGTACAATAACTAATTTAAAATTTAATTTGGTTTTAAATATAAAGTTTTAATTCACTTTGTCTCTCATATTTGTCTATATAATCCTTGTAGTAGCTACACATATTAAATGTTTTATCAAATCATAGTTCTAACTAATGTATATGATTAGCAAAGGTATTTTAGTGAAGACAACACTTGTTTGTTACAAATAACTAATTTAATTAATTTTCTTAATCTACTCAAATTAGTCAAAATAGCTGTTATACTACCTCCGGTCCTTAATATAAAAGTTAGTTTAATTTTCAATTTGATCCTAAAAATAAGATCTTAGTTTACTTTATCTCTAATATTTTTTTTCATTTTGCCCTCAAATAATCCTTATAGTAGTTGCATATATGTTAAGGAGTTACGATCGATTTGTAATTCAAACACATATGATTAATAAGATTATTTTAGAGAAGACAACATCTATTTACTACAAATGACTAACTTAACTAACTTCTTTAATCTCTAAATTAGTCAGTTAGGTTTTATATTAGAATAAAAAATAGTTATAATAGAACGATTGCCATATTTGATAATTAAATAAGTGATTAAAGGTATATTATGTTAAAGGAAGTCTTATCAAATTGAAGTCATTATGATAGAAACACAATTATAACATATACCTAAGGCTCTTGAAACTCAAAAGAAGTATAGGCCTAGACCAAAAAAAAAAAGAAAAAGAAAAGAAAAGTGCAGGGAGGAAAAAAAAAGTAATAGAGAGATGATACTATAATAGAAAGAGTCCTACATTTACACTACAAAATAGGCTTTATATTATTTATATTACAAAGTAGGTCTTATATTTGAGACCGGAGGAGTATTAAAAAAAATTCCTATCCAATTTATTTTTATGATAAGATATGGTGCTGCGGGCTACCCGCAGGTTTGGGCCTTTGAAGGGATTCTAAATTCAAATGCTCTTGAGATGCAAACTAAAATCTTATTTTTCAACCACCTTGATCTTATTTATCATTTATATTCAATACTCTAATCTTATTTATGGTGCATCAAGTACTCTAATATTATTTTTAGTGCATTCAACACCCTTATATTATTATTTTAGTTTACATCCATAACCCTAATCTTATTTATAATTTAGAGTGTTAGATGCTTTATTTAAAAAAATAAAATCAATGTATTAGATGCACCATAAATAAAATCATGATGCTAGATGCATTTAGAAAATACAATCAGGGTATTAGATGCACCTATAAAATAATGTTACAGTGTCAAATATTGTTATATTCTTTTTTATATTTTAATTTGCATCCAACACCCTAATTTTATTTATAGTTTAAGGTGTTAGATACTTTATTTAAAAAAATAACATCAGTGTATTAGATGCACTATAAATAAAATCATGGTACTAGATTTATTTAGAAAATAAAATTAGAATATTAGATACATCTATAATGTTAGGGTGTTAGATACAGTTTTATTCTTTTTTATTTGTCCATGGTAGAACGTGTCTTTGTTTTGTAACTTGCATGTCCTAAAAAGGTCAATGGGATGGCTTCTGGGGACCCTTCATCATGCACAGTATACAGTGAGAAAGGAGTCCAAGTTCAGCTTGCGCCCTCCTTCCTTGTCCGAGTCCGACATCCTTTTTTTAACTTTTACAAAGTGTCCATATTCAAAGTTAGCCTTCAAATTCAAATTTAATTCGAGTCACGTAGCAAGATAGGATCAATATTCTAAATCCATCTTTATAATGCAAACTAAAATCTTGCTCACATGTTTATTTTTTTTAGATAACATATTTCAAATGTGGAGGGGCGTCACTTGGAGTAGGCATGCAACATCATGTAGCAGATGGATGTTCAGGTCTGCGCTTCATCAATACATGGTCAGACATAGCTCGTGGCCATGATCTTGCCCTTCGTCCCTTCTTCGAGCTCAGGACCCTCCTCGGCCGGTTTTCGATCACATCGAATACAAACCCCCTCAGGCCATGATCACTCCCTCCTCCTTTCCACCATCACCCACAAAACCGGGCGCAGACCCAGCACCGCCAGCTGCAGTGTCTATTTTCAAAATGACTCTTGATCACCTGAACGTTCTGAAATCCAAGTCCAAAGAAAATGGCAGCACAATCAATTATAGCTCCTATGAGATGTTGGCTGGCCATGTGTGGAAAAACGTGTGCAAGGCGCGTGGCTTACCCCATGATCGAGAAACCGAACTGCACATTGCTACTGATGGAAGGTCTAGATTGAAGCCAGAGCTGCCAGAAGGTTACTTTGGAAATGTGATATTCACAGCCACACCAATGGCTATTGCTGGTGATCTCATGTCAAAGCCAACTTGGTATGCTGCGAGCAAAATTCATAATGCTTTGGTGAGAATGGACAATGAGTATCTGAGGTCGGCTTTGGACTATCTAGAGCTTCAACCTGATCTTAAAGCTCTTGTTCGTGGGGCTCATACTTTCAAGTGCCCAAATCTTGGAATTACCAGTTGGGTTAGGCTGCCAATACATGATGCTGATTTTGGGTGGGGAAGGCCTATTTTCATGGGACCTGGTGGGATTGCGTACGAGGGACTGTCTTTTATAATACCAAGTTCATCAAATGATGATGGCAGCTTGTCTGTCGCCATTGCTCTCAGGCCTGACCACATGAAAGTGTTTCAGGAATTGTTATATCACATTTAATTCCTTTTCTTGTTTTTTCTCCCTTGGATACTTAATGAACCTTATGCATAATTTAGACTTTGTGAACTATTCATTAGTGTAATAATCTGTACACTCTCTTAAGTTTGTTTCATTCTGACAAGACTGTTGAATATTTATCTGAGACAGTTCAAATTCGCAGGTTCCTTATAGTATACGATGTGTCGACTGTTTTTGGCTGATATGTTGTTAAATGAATGTTCGTTTCATGATTTCAATTTTTATATACCTGCATCAACTCGTTTGTTGACTAGTTTTCCTTCTTCTTGTTTTTTTTCTCCCAGGAGCTTGTGTGTCAAACTAGAGGAAAACTGGCGTACTTTAGAATGATTTAACAGTCAGGTTGCTGGGAACTCTGTCTCGTGCTTCTCCAGGAGAACATGATAGGCAGAAATGAGAGGTTCAAGCACCTATTCATATATGAAAGATTACAACTTCCACAAGAAAATTCTGGAAATTTTAAAGAGGGGAATCAAATTGCCAAGTGACAAACAAAGATGCTCCCGGAGGATCATAAAAAGAAAAACGCAAACAATAGAAGCAATAAACAAACAAAATCGCCATATGACAGAAAGATTTCTTCCTTAGAAACACCCCCAAACAGTTAGCGGAAGAGGAAAACGAAGATCAAAGCGAAGCTTGCTACAGAAAGAGTTAAATATGAGCCCCACAAAGATGTTGCTTGTAATAATGAAGTTGCAGAGTTGCGAGTGGGAGGACGACGATTAATATTTGCACTACCAGAACCAGAAGGTGCTCCCCTTCCTCCACTTCCATGTGCTTTTCGTAGAGTATCAGATATCTCATTTTTCCTTTCCTCAACTTCTGCCCAACCAGTTCTTGTCCTTCATGCTTCTATACGATAATCTCTCTATCATTGAACAGTGAAACAAAACAAATAACAGATTCAGGAAACAAACAATAAAGGATTGCGAGTGCTTGAAGAGGTAGGACAATCTTACCCAGAAACTCCTGATGCGTCTGCACATTGCTGTGGTTTAAGGCTCTGCTTTCTGAAGTGGAGAATATCTGGAAATCAGAGGTTGAAATGGCTCCAGCATATGAAATGAAAAGAAACAGCACAAGAATTGTTGACCCCATCTTAGGGTTTGAGGAGGAAATTGGGGGAGTGTTGAGCGTTGCCCCTTGCCTGTGCATAAATAAGTCCCCTCCCCTCTTTTCTGGACGAGCAAGGTTGGCTCAGGTGACACCGTGACAGTGACTTGACCCTATTGATTCTTTGGTTTTCCAAGGCACGTAATATAGTAGTACAAGTAACTCTCAATATTTAAATTAAATTTTTTTCACATCTAATAAACAATTTTTTATAATATCTAATATTTTAAAATAATTTTTAATGCATTCAACCCTTCAAACATTTTATACTAGTATTTGATATTTATAAGTGTAGAGTGCTTATTGTTACTGAAAAATATTTTTAAAAATAAATATGTTTAAAATTATTTTAAATATTAGGTGTTACTTGAAAACTACGGTAAGATGTTGAATATAACAATTATACATGCTAACATAATTTTTTAATAGATTAATTTTTTTTTAAGATTACCATAATAGGGTAAGCTTTTAATTTTCTAGGGTCCAGGAAATTAACTTACTAATGTACTATCTCTGGTCCTTATTAAGAGCCAGTTGACTAATTTAAGGAGATTAAAAAAATAAGTTGAATTAGTTATTTGTTCTAAATATGTGTTGTCTTTCCTAAAATATCTTGCTAATCAAGTGTATAGATTAGAACTATCATTGTTAGAAAGGGCTACTTTGGAAAAAAATGTTTAAATATAAGAGACAAAGTGGATTGGGGTCTTATATTTAGGACCAAAATAAAAGTTAAACAGGATCTTATATTAAAGACCGGTAAGTAATAATACTGTTTCTGGCCTTTTTAGGTAGTTTCCTTCATAAATCATAAGGCAGAATAAAAGAGATGGGGACACGTATGGAGGTTATTTGGAAGGGGGCTTTCATAGGCCATTGGCCACTTTTGGAGGAAATTTGATTGGAAAAGGATGTTGATCGCCAATAGTGTCCGACACAGTGAATGAAGACAGTGATTGGCACATGGAATAAACTGTCACTGTGGAGAAAAAAAGGAATTTTTCTTTTTCTTTTTCTTTTTCATTTTCCTTTCTTTTCCGGAACAAAAGATGAAAGAATCGTCTTCTGCGTGGTTCAGGATAAATAAAACTTATGCTCCTACAACTTGTTACGTAATTTGCACAGTCAAGAATATGATGCCTTTAGTGCTATGTCGCTTTCTTGACTTGAATCTTGTGGGTTATTTTACAAAACTTAAAGATAACCAAGGGATTCTTATTAATTGTTAAAATCTCCAACATAAGAAGGGATTTTTTTTTTAATCAAGCATAGATTATCCTTCAATTGAACACCTTTGAAACATTTTCGGGTACTAACTGTTTTATGAGGAAAATAAAAAAGAGTTAAAAGAAAATTTTCTTGAATTCGAATTAAAAAGTAGCAGAAATTGGGTTATAAAATTTTAATGAAAAAAGATATAAGGTAAGAAAAAAAAATACTTTTAGTCATTTAACTTTATACAATATTTCAATTTAATCCCTTAAATATAAAAAGTATACTTTTAGGTTGTTAACCTTAAAACTGTTAATAAAAAATAATAATATAATATTAAGATCTTGAATGTTGATAAAACATTTTCCAATGCCAATATTTAATTTTTAAAACAACTATGATTGTTAAGAAAAATTATTTAAAACCAATAATTTTAGTGTTAAAGAACTAAAAATATAATTTTCAAAGTTAATGTATCAAACTAAAACTTTGTATAAAAATAAAGAACCAAATATATATTTTAACAATACTTTTCTAATTTTTTAAATTAAATTCATTAAAATAACTATTTTAAAACTAAAAAATTTTTTTATTCAATAGTGTATGACATAACTTTCCAAAAACTCGACTTTGCATGGTTGGAGGAGTAATTCACATTAGGGAATAAAAAATTGAATTTCTGCTAAAAAAAAGACCCACATTTAATGGTTTGTTTTGTATGACGAAAATGAAGAGGATGAGAGCCAAATAAAAATTTTAATGAGTTCAGTTTAAGAAATTGAAGAAACTTGTAAATCTAGAGTTATTACTTAAATTTTATATATAATCTTTTTTTGGTTATACTGAACTATAAAACATCTGAACGTTTTGACAACCGTAATTGAGGGATCCGTTTGAAATGGTGATGAAAAAAGTAGATTATTTTCAATCTGACTTATAAAAAAGTAAGATTGGATAAAAGTTAAATTGGGTAAAATGAATTGTGTTTATATTAGACTTTAAAAAAGTTAGTTTATAAAAGTAAGATTGGTAAAAGATTATTTGGATTATGATTTAATAAAAGTAAGTTTATTTGTAAAATTATCAAAATATGTATGAGTTTTAATAAATAATAAGACATGATTAAAAAAATAATTTTACATAATACAATGAATTTAAATTAATTTAATATGAAGTGAAATTTAATGAGTGAATTAAATTTTAAAACATTAGAGAAATGAAAAAATTAATACTCAATATATTTATTATTTTATTTTCTGAAATATACTTTATTGATTTTTTTTACTTCTCTATCTCATACTCTCTTTTTGCGAAAACAAGGATATATTTTAAAAAACTATTTAAAAGAACATAACAAAAAATAACTATTTGACATGTCCAACAGTCTCGCTCATACTCTCTTTTTTTGAAATACACTTGAAGACTGAATGAAGATATCCAAAGGCTGAGAGAATATTATACGAGAGACCCTTTCTGATTAGAAATAATGAGGAGGAGTGAGAAAAACAAAACTAATCTAACATGTCCAACAGTCCAGTAAGCTTGGTTTTCATTTCAATAAGCTCCTCATGTGAGCTTATTCTAAACGTAAGTTTCGGGTTGCTTTTGGTCCGAAATCCAGATACTTCAGTAGCTCTCCCAAATAGGCCTTATTTTTCTAAACGGGTTTCAGCAAAAATTAAGCAACTTTTGGGCCAGCAAATGTTGACCCAAACAGACACCGAGTTGATTGATAAAAGACGTAACAGCTAGTAAACAAGATTTTGAGTTTGGGACCGGTGCACGCTGGCAAGACTGGTAAGGGAGTCGTGTTCCCTTAACCATCGCCTTTGGGGTTCGATTCCTGGAGGGATGAGAATGGAGTAAGCGTGCCTGGGAGGGTCACCCCCATCATGGGCCTAACAGTACCGGAGGGATTAGTCATTGAGCTCGCTCCGATGGATACCCTGGTGGATACGAAAAAAAAAAAAAAGATTTTGAGTTTGGGTTTTGTGAAGAGAAGAAATCGTAGTTGTAAAGTTTTCAAGTAGCACCCCTGAAAATATGTGTCTGTTGAAGAATCTAGAAAAGCGGACATCATGGCTAAGCCGACAGAAAGTTCTCATGTCGTGGTTGTATGTCATGTCATAATTAAGCTTTATTGTAACCCTGATCCAGCAAGATAGAGAAAGAGCCAAGTTTGGGTGTTGTCACGGTTCTCTCTCTGTTTGTTTTCTTGACCGAAAGTGTTGTCATGATTCAATAGAAGGGGAAGGAGAAGAAAAATTTTGATAGAAGAAATGGGATGATAAAAGTATTTTAATGATCCTTATTTGATTTGGGGACAGATAAAATTCAAAGGAAGTCCTATCAGAAACTCATCTTACTATATTGTCTTGCATGGTTTATCATGTTCTGATTGTTTTCAGTATCTCGGCTTGTGTCTTGTAATGTTTGTATCATCTTATTCTTATCCAAAATAATCATGTTTGAGACATTTTCTATCGGGTATTAAATATGGGCATGTTTGTTCTCGGTTTATTTGTAGCTGGTGTGAATTGGGCCTCTTCAGTTATGGTATGTGTGCACGTAGAGAGGCCCAATCTGAATTTCCAGTGAAAAGGAGCCTCTATTGAAGAATCAGAGAAGCCCCATTTAGCAGGACTACCCCCCATAGCATTGCGTATATTGCACTCTGATTTCCCATTGTAATCTAAGGATACCCTGGCTTTTCATAAAAACCAAACCGCAATTTTTTTTGGCCATTAGAAGAAGACAGCAAAATAGCAAAGCTACGAGACTTTTGGCATGTGTCTCCAAGATAACCCTTCGGGAACCAATGTCCCAAACAAGGTTTAAACCTTTGAGTACAGACCGTTCCTCGGCCTCCGAAGCAGAACAATGACCTAAAGAATGATTGAAGCAAGCTATCCATTCTCCTTTAGAATTCCTCAGAATTCCACCATGCTCTGCTGCCATGTTAGAATTAGAACTAGCTCCATCAACATTCAGCTTGACAAAATCTATTGGGAGTGGTTGCCATTCTGATACACAACAATCTTCTGGGTCAACAGCACTTCGTTTGGCCTCAAATTTCATGACAGAATTCCTCTAAGTGTGATGAATCAGTGTCGCAGGATACACAGGTTTATCAAAACTATCCTGGAAAATAAATTGATTCCTCCATAGCCAGAGTTTCCGTATAGAAACACCCCAAATTAAAGGCTATCATCCATCAGAGAATTCTTTATCAATATTACCTTTCATGTTCATAATCATCCAATCAAAAAGAGACGACGAGAAAAAAACAGGTTCACATGTCTGTTGTCAACAAGATGCAACCATAAACAGCCTCTTGTTTTCAGAATCCACAGAGTGGTGATGAAGACGACCATGGGGCTCCTCCATTCATTAGTGGGAAGTCTATTATGAGCAACCTTCCACATAAAGATTCTGATTCACTCTGCCCCTTTTCATTTCCAAATGAATTTGAAAACTGGATCGAAATGAACAGGGACTGGTTCAACCAAATAAAGAGTAAGCACTTTTTAGGGAGAAACTACCATCAGTGGTAGCTTTCCAAGTCATAAAATCCTCTCCAGCAGCATCCATTGGTGGTAATACACCAATAAGACACTGGATAATATCGGAAGGAAGCATCCCATTTAGTCTCTGAAAATCCCAGGTTCCAAGATTAACCCAGTCAATCACAACACTCTCAGATTCTTCAATAGACAGGGGCCTTAAGCAAAGATCCTTTAGAGCTTTATCATGGTGAAGCCAGCAATCTTTGAAGAAATTAATATTTGGCAAG